TTACTCTTTCGATTTATGGCGGAAACGAAAACACAGGGGCCAGTGAACGTCTTCGCATGTAAACATGTAAGCATGCAAGCCGTCAATCAGGAGCGCCCCGTAAACAAGAGAACACTTAATGGAGTAATAAACGCATGGGCACGCAAAGGCGTTAAGGAGTGAGCACGTACGGTGTTTACGCGGGAACGCAGGCGATTTTTTCCTGAGTAGCAGAAATTGAAAAAATCATTAAACCGAAATGGAAGGAAACAAACAAAAATAAAATAAAAAATAAAAAAACACAATAAAACAGCAATTCACATGCCAATGTACGTTCTTGTCTATTAATGAATGTAATTGTACATATCATTAAAAGTGAACTCTTAAAGAAAATCTGTGGCTTGATATAAACTTTATAAGACATGGCATTGTATTAGGAACATTAAAAAAAAAAATAAAGTGCACAAATCGCAAAAATTGTGGAAATTGGCGAAGCTCGGCAAAGCTAAGCAAACTCTGCAACGTTAAACAAAATTACACAAAACGCCTCCAGGGGAAATCATCAAAAAGGTAAAGAAAAGAAAAAAAAAAACGGTAACAATTAGGCAATAAAATGCATAAAGTGCGAAGAGTACATATTCTTGCATTCGATCATCGCGCTTAATTTTTGTATGGCATGAGGGGTAAAGCCCACTTTCACCACAGGGACTATACATATGCATCGCTACAGAAAGCGTTTAAAATGGTTAAGCTCTTGGGGTAAGCATCTCCACACGTATAGGCACATGTAGGCGTATATACATTTATAGGTATTCCCATTAACTCCTTTTCCAATTGGTCACCACCAGATGGCCATATGAAAAAGGTAAAAATAAAAAAACGAATTAAGAAAAAAAAAAAAATCTGACAATTCAACATGCCTCATCACAATGTTACATACGCACAGTATGCACATAGGTAGCAAAAATGAGTAAATGATAAAAATCGTGGGGCACTATTAACATATGTAAATGTGGGACGACAATTTTGTAGAAAAACTGTGACCAACTTTTTAGAGCAAGAAGAAAAAAAAAAAAAAGCTTATATTTCTTATTAGCAATAAAACAGTTTAAAGGTTAAGCCGTTGACGCATACTTGTACACATAGGCCTTACGTATGCAGTGAGTAGCACGCATATTTATATTCATACGTACACGCGTGTAAACTTTTTTCCCGTTTCTCCTCTCGTTCCGTCCGCATACGATGTGTGCTACGCAGGAGAGAGTACCTACCCACGAAGGACTGCAAACGAGCGATGAGACCGACTTATACCCACGCTCTAAGGAACAACCCCCATTCAAAAAAATAAGATCAAAAATAAAATTAAAAAATAAACACCCAAAAAGTAAAGGAAAAAACGAAAAGGAAAAATAACGGACCCAGGATTTCCCTCTTTGCATCATGGACGAAACGCAAGTAATAATCCCACTGATTGTTTAAAAAAAAAAAGAAAGAGAGAAGGGGATTAATGAGGCCTCATTGGAAGGGGGAATGTTCTGCGCAAATGGAAGAGGCTACCAAGCAGATACATGCATTAACGCTACGCTAGATTGGGTTGATTCGTGCATGTGTCGCTTTATGTTCCTCTTTACGCACCACCTTACGTGCCGGCCTACGTGCCTGCATATGTATATACACTCACAAGTGCATAGAACCATTCCGCTGCGCACACGTGGTGCGCCCCGCTGTGCAGAGCGCCAGAATTGTGGACCTCTTTAATTTAAAGAAAAAGGACAATGACTATGTCGACAAGCAGGACCTAATAGTAATACTGAAATCGCTCGGGTACGTCAAAAAATAATTTTTCATCATATCGGTTGAGGGCTGTCTCAGTCATGTGCATAGGCAAAAGAACTCCCTATCCTTTCAGTTAAAATGTAACTTCGTTCAGTTGTACGTATGTCGAGAGGTTCTTATCGTCCGAACGAACGTTCCTAAGGAGTAGATCTCCCCTCTTGGGGCCATCTTTCGGAGAACACATGGCTGCACCGTGATAGGCACACCTTAGGCCCTGTGCTTCTAACGGTTTTACGCCCCCAAATGACCGTAAACAACCCGCAGGTTTAAAATATGCTACGAAATATTCGAAGACAGCAAAAACTGCTACAGCTTTGAGGAGCTGAGCGATTACGTGCTCAAATTTGAGAGCAACTACTACGCGAAGAAGAAGGTGGAAAAGTGCATTCGCTTCTTGAACCCACAGAGTATACATGCCACAGACGCCCCATGTGTGCACATGCACACATGCGTGTGTGTACGTAGGTAGTTACACAATATATATATGCATATTTTCTTATTTGTTTTCCCGTATTATTGCCCCTCCTCAATAGGCGAAACGATAAGCAAAAGTTCTCTAAAGACTCTCCTTTGTGAACATGGGAACAAGTTCACCGAAAACGAGTTTAAAAAGTTTTTAGTCGACCTTCCGGTAATTCCCACTTTGTCCAACCAATATTACAAAAAAATATCATTAAATGGGATGGTAATTTTTTTACATTCTTCCATGTTAACAAAATAGGTCGACGCGCAAGGAAACATAAGCCACGCCGATTTAGTACAAATGTAAGAAAAAGAGAACACAATAAGGAGGAAAGGGATGAAAATGCGTAGGAAAAAATCGGAGAGTATAACCATCAGCCTGCCCAGATAGCTCTCCCACCACCGCTCTGCTCCGCTTCACTAATTCTGCAGCTTATCCAACTATGTCGAGTACTGATGAAAGTTCCCAACGAGGAGCAACACCACCAAAGTGGGGAGCGAGTGATGATCAGGTAAATTTTTCCCCAAATGTGCACTTCACCCTTTCTCTATATCCATCACGAACGGACAAGCTTTTCATTATTATGCAAAATATCGATTAGCAACTTGAACGTGTCTTTTATTTCCTCCTCGTCTACGTTCTTCAAATACTCCGCTAGTTTTTCCACCTTCTGATTTTCTTTGTTCGAATAAAAATAAAAAAGTTTCAACAAATTTGTTGTGTCGACATCCATCAGATTATAGAGAAGCTTTACTTTCTCCCTGTCCAGGTTATTTATGTTAGTGTTTAAGTAGTTGTTTATCAGCGTGTCTAGCTCCAGCATGCCAACCTGCAGCAAGGGAGGGGTGCGAAAATAAGTTCATACATAGCGAGGCACATCTGTATACCTATGTTCATTAGCTACACACTTGTTCTATGTAGAGTCTCTGAGGGAATTCCCTACAGGAACAGAGTATACATCGTTAAGGGCACATTTGGGCCCGTGTAGGGGGGTCTACACATTCCCACCCCTATGCTATGTACACGCCGCGTTACACTCAATGCACATTTAAATAAGGTTTGTAATTATTCCCCTTTTTCACATTTTTCTTTCCACAGTTTGGCTCCTTTCCATTTTTGCACACAAAAGGGCCATTTTTTTTTTTGGCAAACTATATGCCTATTCCTCAACTGACACTTTTAAATTTCCATCGTAGCTTTTTCTTCAAATGGTTCATATCCTCCTCGTTGATGCTCTTCTGGATGGAGGAAAATTTCCTCAGAAGTCTCACAACAGGATTCATATGTGCTCGGGAAGGTTCTCCTACTTTCGCGTTGTTACTCTGTTACTCTGATTTGTCATCTTTGTTGTGCCTGCTTATATGTGGTAGATGATACAGAGCAGAGCATTCTTTATTCGTTTTTTTTTTTTCTTCTTCTTTTTTTCCCCCCCTCGCTGAAAGAAGCGCTTTTCTAAATGAACTTCACTCATATAGGGGTTCCTATAAAAATAATATTTCTCCTTTCCTCGCCACACTATGCAAACATATCTTTGCAAACTCACCTTAGTCGCGACGTCCTATGCCATTTTCAAGTGTGCGAAGAAAAAAAAAAAAAAAATATATCCATTTTAATCGCTCCATTGGAAAAATAAAACCTCAAACAAAAGCTGACTTTGAGGTGACAAGTCATGTAAACAAAGAGTTAACAAATTCAGAAAAAAATGGGGAGCTAGCATTTAAAGGGAAAAATCGAATGGGCTTACATGACATCTCCTCCAATGGGGACTCTAAGTTCACTTGCGGAACCGGGCGAACGGAATGTGTGAAGGGAGTCGAGAGCCGGTAACCAAAGGAGGAAAAGCAAAAGGTGCAGTTAATGACACATAATTTGACTGGCGAAAATTTCACCCTACGTCCGTATGCGGCATAGTACCCAGAGCAGTGCCTCCCATAGTTCGCATCGCAGCTTCCTCACTGCATACACCGTCGTGTGTAGCGTTGCATGTCCCCCCCCCCCTCTAGCTGGTAGCCTTGCCGCTTACCGACAAAAATGGGGAAGGGCGCTGTCCACCCAAATGGCTCGAACTTCTGCAGGGCGCTAAAGTACAACATCGTGGACAAGATGAGGACGATGGTGGAGACAAACCTCTACGACCGGCCCCGGTGGCTAGAATGGACAGAGAGAGCTCCCCCAATAGAAATACACAACATCAGCCTAAAGTCAAGGTACAACAATAACAAGTACATCGACTTGGTGAAATTTCTGCTAAAAAAATATCCTCATCTGCGATTCCAGGACTGTTATGTGGAGGGAAATAACAATGTGAAGGGCTACGACTTTTTCAGGAACGATCATATCATTACGCAGATGGCTACCCACCAGCTGTACTACATGAATAGAGGGTATGGGAAAAAGGAAGCCCTTGAAAAAGTGGAGGAGGAATTCTACAACAGAAGAATGGAACTGGAAAAAAAACAAAAAATAAACATGTGCCTGTCCATTGATAAAAAAATGAAGCCACTTTACACCAATGGTTATGCTTATCTGTATGAAAAAATGGCAGACAATGAGAAGGCTCATCTGGGTCTTATCCTCAAGAGGCTTCGAACTATGAGGGAAAAATTGGAGAAGGAGCATCGACAGGGTGGTGCCTACCTCCACACGGATAGTAGCAGCAGGAATGACTCAAATGAGAAAGACGCCAAAAAGGATTAATCAAATGGACGTAGCACTCTGGCACACCTCCCCCTGTGGAATTATCCTTTTCAAAATATTTGCACGGCGGAAAAGAAGCATTCCCTCCGACTACAGAAAATTAAGCGATGATCCCCGATAACTCAACAGATGTCCAAGAAGGGGACTATTTCCCCCCTCTTTTTTAGCGAATTCGAATGGGGCATTTTATAGAGAACGGCCCCAACGAATGCACGTTTGTTTTCTTCCCCTTGGAAGAAGGCAACATAGACCATCTCAAGAACATCGTGTGGACAAATTAGTTTGTTTCCTCCCCTTGAAGTGTTAATGAGCTTAAGCGGGAGGTGCCCTCCCTTGCACAAGTTCAGACACTTTTGTTGGTCCGCAAAGTGGAGAACGGAAAAAGGGGAAGGCCCAAACGGCATGGCGAGCTATGATTGTAGGCCCATAACTGCACCTTCTCCAGCGATCCGATTCGATCGGAGGACCTTGCGGGGGTGGCGCTTGTGATTGCACTAAATTTTGGATTAACTTTGTCGAATGGCAGATTGTCTTCCTTTTTTGTTATTTTTTTCGCGTTTTCTTTTCTCCCCCATCGTTCGCTTCTGTTTCCTTGCGCATCACCGCTTAAAGGTGAAGTAGACATCTTCATTCAGGTGGTCATACAACACACTGTTATGAACATGCTCCTGCGTGTAATCGGGCAGGTTTTCCAAATTCGAGCAGATGGAAGCCCCTATGAATTGGCGAAGGTTGGGGGATATCTTTGGAAAGAGAAAGTTGACTCTATTTTCCAAATCTTTGACGGATGTCTTTTTTTTCTCACTTAACGCGTGGAAAAGGGATTGAGCAATTTTCGAAACGATCCCCTTGATGTTACTGCATCCACCAACCAGCAGCACATTCTGGAAAGCGGAAAACTCAAACATGTGTAATTTAGACAGTATGGATGCGAACATAGAATTTATATTTTGCTCATAATTTTTAGTAAATAATATTTCGCACGCCATCCACCTAGTATCTGCTTCTATGATCATTTCGTAATTTTGAAATTCATACAAGACAATTTTGTTGCTGTACAATTTGGCTTCTTCATTTTTTAAATAAAAAAATTTCATCTTCATATTTTCTATTTCATCATCTGGCATGGTGTCTATAACCTTTAATATTTCCTCCAGTGGGTATAAATCGAGGTAATAATTAAGTAGTCCCTGCGAGGTGTTTGTTTCTCCTGTTTCTCCCTCCGTGCGTTTTTCTTCATGGCGAGTTGCCGTATAACCATCATCTGTGTTTTGTACATTGGTAAGGATATCCCCATCATAGGCTTGTACAAATGAAGGACTGGAAACTGCCCAATCGCTCTTGACTCTCCTCCTCCGAGCCCTTCTCACATACTGCTCCTTCAGTAACCTCTTAATTTCCATATTGATGTAAAACCCACCATTGTCTACATACGTATAATGGTGATATAATGGCATTCCATTCATTACGGGCAGCAGCCGACAGCTTAAGTAACCCAAGTCGATCACCACACATGTGTTGCAGTTGCACAAGAAAAGCGGCGACACTAAGTCGTTTATGTACGAGATAGAGGCGTATTCATAATTTTCGATCAAACTTTTGCAGAGGGAATATTTAATTATCGTTGGCATGAACATGTTCAAAAGGACGATTACTTTTTTTGCCTTGTTATTCGTTTTTATTAACTTGCGAAAAATGTGGAATGTGAACTCCTCGAAGAATTTGCACCACAGCTTCTCATCTTGGTGGAATTTGTACTCGTAGTGGTAGATCAGGCTCCCTTCGTGTTTGCTGCACCCCGTGAGGGGGAGGCGGTGGTCCTGGCGAACGCTGTTCAGATGTTGGTCCCGGTCAGTACTGCCCTGGTTTGGGTCCTGATTAACACCTTTCTTGTGTTGCTCCTGATTAGTACCTTTTTCGCGTTTGTCCCGGTTGGCGTCTTTCTCCTGTTGGTCCTGATTAGTACCTTTCTCCTGTTGGTCCTGATTAGTACCTTTCTCCTGTTGGTCCGGATTAGCACCTTCCTCGCGTTCGTCCGGATTAGCACCTTTCTTGCGTTCGTCCGGATTAGCACCTTTCTTGCGTTGGCCTGGGTTAGAGCCTTTCTCGCCTAGGATCGCGCTATCCTCGCTACCCCCTGCGCAGCCCCGCAAGGAAGTTCCTCCTCCCTCCGAAACAATTCCCACCACGTCGTATACCCCCTTCTTATTCTCAGAATAATTGTGGAAACTTTCATTGTACCGAAAAAAATCGGGAGTTCTGTAAACTGACAGGGGTTTGTGCAGTCCTGAAAATCCTAGATAGGTGTATTTTCGCCCTATAGAAAGATGGCAAGCAAAATGTGCATAGCTAACCGTAGGTGAAGCGTTGCTGTCGTGTCAGGATGCACCCTAACATGGATCTTAACACACGGCTCCATTCTGCACACAAAAAAAGGGGACTAAAGAAAAAAAAAAACACTCGTTGGGAGACACTCCACAGGTTTATACACGTAAGTTGTTCTCCCTTACCTATTTGCAGCACATAATACTTGTAGTCATTTTCGCTGTCATTTTTTTTAAACCTCCTTTCCATCTTTCGGAAATGTTTGCTTGATTGCGTGATTGCTTGACTGCTTGCGTGTGGGGGGCGGAGCGCCTTGTAATTTTGGTAGGCCCTGTTATGTGCCTATTACAAATCTAAAAACAGAACGCGGTGTGTATGTCTGTATGCTGGCTTGCGATGTTAACCTTTTCCTTTCTGTCGTTCCTTCCATATTTGTTTACTTCTTTTTTCTTTTTTTTTTCCGTACACCTCTGCTCTCGTGAGTGGGGGGCGAAAGGCACCAGGTCTATTTCCACACAATTGTCCTTACAATTAGGGGTGCACATGCACTTGCAATTTCGATTCGTAAATCCGCTAAAAATGTGCAACAACGAGTATGCTTAAAAAAGAAAAAAAAGAAAAAAAAACGAAAAGACTAATCGTTTCTTGCAAATCCAGGCGGGGAATATCATTCTCAATTTGCCTCCCCACCCTTCCGAAGGAATAGAATTTTTTTTTTCCCACTTTTTAACTAAAAATGCACTTTTTGGGTAGTTAAACACCCAGGGAGTGTAAACAATTTTGTTAACTCCTAACACATCGAAGTATACCAGTCGCTTATTGCGCTATTTCGCTGGAATCATTTATCCAATTTTTTTTTTTTTTGTACCTAAGCCTTTTGCGCAAAACCTATCACCTGATCCTTTCTTCTTGCCATCTTTTCCATGATATTCTCCCTTTAATTTTCCCCACATACTTTTTTACCTTCCAAATTGCACATGGCATTTTTTCCCATTAATTTTTAAAAGCACAAATTGGTTTTCTTCTCTTGGCATTTTCGACTTCTCTGTCAATTGCGTGACTTTTTTTTTTTTTTTTTTTTTTTTAACTTAATACATGCCCCAGCAGAATGTCAAAAGAGGGGACGTATAAACTGTCACAGTGAAATGGCAAATCAGGGGACGCATCCAGTGGCACAGCATGCGGCGCACCTAGCCGACGCAGCCAAACGCCCATTGCTTCCCTGGGCGTGAACTCTCCCCCGGTTTTTAAATGCGCGCGTTTCTGGCTGTTAAGACAGAGTCCTCATTGCACGTACACGCATCGTGTGCTGGCATGCATACGCATATGGTGACCTGCCTTTTTTGTTTAAATTGTCAAAGTTCTATGCTACCCCCTCCCGTTCCGTTATAACGGTTTTTATTTCAGCTCATTTGTCCTATAAATAGTTTCCCCTTCTTCTAGGCACGAAATCTTTGCCATTATAAGAGGCAAGATTTCATCCACGAGAAGGAATCTTCAACGGGGGGCGACATGTATCTGCACAAGACGTGCAAGTAGAACCCTACGTCCTTCCCCTCGTTCTACGGAATCCCCCACCGTGTCAAGCTGCAAGGAAATAAAAAGAAGGCACACAGGGAAGTGACCCTAAAATGGTGTACGCTATTATTATAAAAAATGGCGAGTCAAAGAAGAAAGTTAGTAAAAGCAAACAACCCATTTTGCGAGAAAAAAAAAAAATCGAAAAAAAGAAAAGTACCAGTCTATGCAAAAAAGGGGCCGCGAACTCCAGTTACTGTTACAAGAACAATCAGTATTCTATATTAAACTATTTTGACGTAAAAAAAAAAGAAAAAAAAAAAGACGAACCGGATAAAGAAGAAAGTACACCCAATAAAGATGTAGACACGTATATAGACAATTTTTATAGCATCGAAGAATGCAAAAACTACTCGAAACAGAACGGACACATTTTGACGTACATAAAATGGATATGTGAACAGAAAAAAAACGAAAAAGGAAATATAAAGGAGCACATTTTAAAATTACTAATATTGCTAAAAAAGGAAGATATCTATTTGAAAAGGTACTTCCGGAAGGTGTACAATTTTGAACAAAAAAGGAAACAAAAAGGAGATACAAGCAGAAAAACCCATTGTGAAGAAAAAATTTACGTTAATAATATTTACAATAGGAACCTTAAAAGGACCAAATTTTATTCCAGCATAGTGAATGGTGCTTTATATGAATACAAGCTGACCTACTGCAAGGAAAACAGCTTAATGACATTTCACCATTACGATGGGATTAGGGAATCATTTAAGGTTTCCAGCGGTACCTTTTTTTACCTCATATCAGATGACAAGAGTGTGTTTCGGCCTAGTGCCCTTAACAATAAGGGGTCAGATGAGCAGGACAACCTACTTCCCCAGAAGAACAACTACGTCTACACGTTTGAGCAAAACTGCGAAAATAAGATAAGCGTCCAAATAATAGACGTTTTAAGCAAAACAAGGAAGATAGAATTCTCCCTCGGGTATACCGCCCTCCGAGTATTTTACTACAATGACCATTTGTTTTTTGTAAATTTGTTAAACTGTAGCAACGGACGGAAGTACTTCACGTACTCCATCTACAAGAACAACGTGAAGGAAAAAATTCGAGTGCTATACTTGTCCGCGGTTCACCCGTTCTACTCCAACACAGTCGTAGGCGAGAATGACTATCTCTTTTTCCGCAAGTGCAAATATTTTTACCCTGAGGAGAGGGTCTTTATGTGGACTGACCCATTGTGGCAGGGTTCGTCGCGCGCGTCCACGGTAGTATTCCCATCCGATTCCTCCACTTCTTCCACTCCATCCACTTCTGCCACTTCATCCGATGGCTGCTCCTCGGTTCGAGAACAGCCCAGCGAAACGCGGCTGAACCAAATCCCTAACATAAACATCATACACATCAACTCCAACGTGAACATCTGCATCGCGTTCGAAGAGAACACGGAGACGTACTTCTTCTTTTACATACTCTACACTGTGGTAAAGTACAACAAAAAATATCTGAAGGATTATTTGAAAGGGGAGAAAATGGACAAGTTTCTGCCTTTCCAGCACTTCCTTAGCATCGAAAAAAAGCAGTTCTACTACAAAAAACAAACATTCAGAAACATCAATTTTAACACAGAAGCTTACAAACCACAACTTGTGATCACCACCGGAGGAAATAAAAGCATCCAAAGTAGAATTAAATTGTGTGTCTATGATAATGCCAACAATTTGCTATTTCTTATCCCAATATATCACAAATATGTGAAGGATAAGATTAAGGTTGTCCCGAATGTTTTAAATTTCACCACGGTTAACATGACAAGGGAGTTTTCCACCCTTAAGTATTACCCCTACAACATGTGTGCCTTCCTCAACAACCAAATGAACATCACCCATTTGGAGTGCACCCCCAGGGAACGAAATTACGAGAACACGATTGTTAACATTTCTACTGGAGAAAACAGGATCCACTATTTTAAAAAGCTGCTAAAGCAAAAGAGGGACATACTAAAGTGTAGAGATGGCGTGATAGAGAAAAAGGATCCAAAAAGGAACACACAGTTAAATGGACTCATCCTAGATGTTAACAAAGTGAACCACTTCATTATCATCCTGAACAAAGACGGAATGCTCTACCTACTCTCCGACGATGTCTACCTCTCCAGCATATACCTGTACAACAGCACAGCGCAGGTATATAACTTACACAACTCAGATCTCTGTCATGTCAGTGTTGACACGGTCGACTATGACAACAACAAGAAAAAGCTCCGCTTGAAATCCTACAGAGTCCACATCGACATACTTCCGAATAACCCCACCCTCCGATTTGTCCTGTCCTTTTTCTACAACTATATATGCAAAAAGATTGCAACTCAGTTTTTTACCCTCTGCGTTTATGAGTGCAGGAGGGGGCAGCAGAACAAGGGCATTTTTCACTTTCTCAACATTGATATATACTTTTTGGGTTACCACGACTTGGGGTGCTCTCACCGGGGGGGGCCTTCCCCAAGCAGCGTCAAGGCAGAACAGGAAAACGAGAAAAGCGCAAACGGGTTAAGCGATCACGGGTTGAGCGAACACGGGCGAAGTGTAAACGTGTGCAGTGCCCATTTTCGGAGCGGACATACCCAGACACAGAAATGCCCCCCACACCCCAATCAACAGATTGGCGCCTCCCTAATTGCGAAGAACACCTGGGTAAGGAACCAAACAGAGAAGTACGAAATGTTCAACAGAAACTTCTTCCAAGTGGAGAATCTGCCCCACATAGAGTTCAGCCGATTTGTGTACCTCTTCATGCTTATCTGCGTAGATGACTTAAAAATGTACAGAAGAATGGAAAAATATTTGTACTTTAAAAAAGGGAAGAACCTCATACACACAGAGTACATCGAATCGAAATTTAACTGCTTCAGGTTTGGACAAGCGGAGGAAAGTTCAAACAGTGAAGAGGACCATGGATCTTCTTCTCATGGATCTTCTAATCCCTGTGACAGTGACGGTAATGTGGAGAAGATCACACATGTAAGGTTCCTCCCGCGTGGTGACAAAATGGATAAAGACGTGGAGCACCTCCCCCCTAACAGCGCCTCCAACAGTTACTACACCGTGATTAACAATTTTATTATCTACCTACACGACAAGTACAAGCATATTTACCGCAACAAGTATCTATTATTAGCCTATCTACACTCCTATTGTGACGAAATCAGCATGAGCGAGTTGGTGGAACAAGAAATCAAAGACGATATCGTATTTTTAATTCTTGTCCTGTCATACACGCTGAAACTGTACAATTTTATGTTTCACTACTTCAACAAGGTCAATTCATGGAGGAAAAGAGCTTTTCTCCCCTTTTATCAGCATGTATGTAGAAGATACTACAAGGAAGAATTGCTAAAACGGTGCACATATGATGTAACACATCAGGGGTTCCCCCTATCCCTGGGCAAAAGCGATAGATCTTCTCTCAAAATGGAGAAAAGGGGGGACTCCATTTGTGGAAAGACACACCGAATCCATTCCCCCTTTAGTAAAAACAGAGTGATAAAGTTACGACAAAGCGACCAATTTGAAAAGTACACATTTTTAAACAACTATTTAAAGGGAAAATTCACCAGACTGAGTAGGATACCAAATACATTGGAACTCCTCAGCCAAATTTCCAATTGCTGCCATGCGGAGGAGGGGCATAGCCACTTGAACCATTTTTTGAATGCTACCTTTTTTCTTCAACATAATGAGAGCCACACAAAGAAGCTGAAGCTCAAATATGAATATTACTTGAGGGAGGTGGAGCAACTTTTCAGTATAATCATGCGGAAGGAAGACAGGAGAAGGAGAAGAAGAAGGAGGAAAAGAAAGAAGAAGAATATTAAGGAAAGGAAGTATAGTCAAAGTAGAATGACCTGTATAGCCACGAGCGAGAGTCACGTAACAGACTGCTATGCGAACTTCCAGTCCTTCAAATCGTTCATCCTTCTTGACAATAAAATAAAATTCCTGTACTACTTCTCCCCCCTGTATTTTCCGCTAAAGAATTTGCTAATTGCCTCCCATTTGAGTCTACTCTATGGACAAAATTTGAAAAGAAAAATAATCAAGGATAACTTTCTCAGGAATGTTGTTAAAAACGAGTTGGACGTCATTTATGTGCCCTCCTTCCCCCTAAAAAATTTTATGGAAAGCGCAGTTGAGAAGGGGTCTCAAGGACGAAGAAACAGCTGTGTAAATAATTCTCCCCTTGGTGAAGTCACGAAAGGGGACGCTACATACGGAAGGCAGTCCACACACAGGACGCAAGCTAATCGTCGTAAAAGAAGAGTCATTCCATCTAAAGAGGGCAAAAACATACCTCATAATGGAAATTCCTTTGAGAGATCTCACAACAGTAGTGGCATGTCCAGCTGTTCGTTCTCACAACACGCGAAGGAGAAGCAGCAAAGCAGTGACCACCTCTACTTTTACCAAAAGAAAATTCAGTTCCACACGTCCAACATAAAACACTTCGATTCATTAAACATAGACGACATGAATCTTGTTAACATACTACTCAAGTGTGTCTTTTACGAAAATTTATATTCCCTGAACAGGTACTCCTATTTGTTGTATATCCACCTGCACAGTTCCAACAGTGCTAACCATCTATTTCGCAGTGGTTTGGGGGGAAGACATGGCCTCAGAGATGCGCTAAGGTGGGAGAGACACAAGGAAAGAGACGAAAGGGAGGAATCACAGAAATGCTCGAAGAGTGCACTCCTTCTACGTAAAGATCGCCTTCCCATTGAAATGATAAAACTCTTCGACTGCTACGAGACGTTCAAATTTAAGAATGCCAATTTCTACATCAGCATAAACAGGGAGGACCTCTACTTCAACAAATGCTTCGACTCCACAAATACAAGAGTGAAGAAAAATTTTTATCAAGTTTTAGACATTTTGAATAGGAGTTTCCAAAGCGCTGTTCTTATCGATGGTCCTTTACATAACTATGGCAAGCACGCATGCGGTAAGGAGAAACACGACTCGCGCAGTGAGGAAAAACGGAAGAGGGCACAGAGAGAGGACCAAGCGAACAACAGCTACGATAAAAGGAACCTAATTGTCCAGAAGAGCTACCTAAGCGAGTACAAAATATTGAAAGACTGCTGCTTTTTCTTCGATACATTTAAAATGGATCGAAATATCTCTTCGTGTTATTTTCCACACAACAAAGATCCCGTGCTCGTGTACCTGAATAATTTCCACAACTATTACTTCTCCAAATATTACAAGAAACGAAAGATACAGCTGTTGAAAGATAAGGAGGACGACGTCGAAGAGGAAGAACCGGAGGAAGGACGTGCACAAAATAGGGATCTAATCGATTTGATAGACCTGGAAAACTCCTCAGACAGTTTAGAAAGCGCATATATTCACAAACACAAGTACAACAGGAAGAATGTAAATCAACAGTTAAAAAAAATCATCAAACTGGTCAATTTAGACAAATTAGAAGAGAAGAAAATACTTATCGACACCAAAATTAACGGAAATATTGACAAGGTTTTAGATTTAATGCACCTTTATTATACCCTAGAAAAATTTTACAAAATGAAATATATCTGCATGTTTAATATTAGCGAAATTAACTTCTTCGACATTATCAACTCGATTCATTACAAGCCGGACATCAATTTTAACATAAAGTATGATTTGTATGTATATTTATTTGAGTACAGACAGAATCAAAGTCGCCTTAGCAATCTATCCATCCCGCCGACCGATAGCTTTTCCCTTAATGTACCATCTCGCGCCTATAGTAGGGATCCCGTGGATGGCTCCAATCGGCGCCCCAGCGCCACCTTTTACAACTATGCCAATTCGTTCAATGAAAATGGATTTCCTGTGAATGGTGAGCCGAGCAACGGGGAAAATCGCGGAGATGTGAATCTGACCAATCAAGCGACCGGGATGAATGGGAACAACGGGGTTAGTGGACCCCACCCCGTTGCTATCCACAGCGCCTCTAACCCTGTCGCTGAGTCCCCAAGGAACAACGCCCTCGGAAGGGGCCACCCAAATGGAGCGCCCAACGCCAGCATTCCCCGCAGGAACAGTAACGTCCTAATCAGAGACAACTCCGAAAATGACATTCAAAATGTCCACATGCGCAACGCTGCTTCGTATCACTACACACGATTTAATAACAACCAGAACAACATGAACAGAAACATTGGGAGCAACATGCGGTTTAATACTGACACCTTCAACGAACCATCCGAGGTCACAATGCTGAACAGAAGAATACGGGAATTTAATAGCTACTGGCACATGCGCACTAATGAATTAAGGACAAATCATAATTTAAATTACCGAAGCTTGCTTAACACTTCGAGGAGCATGCACCGTGAAGGCAGTAACTCGGGGAACCGCTTCAGTTACAATCAAAATAGGACTCCGGAAAGGAACACAGGGAATGTGATTTCTAGAAATTATGAGAACCGCTTAAATGTGCTACCTCTAAACAGTAGAGTTGGTAACTACAGGGATGTGGGTAGAGCCAACTCGTACAATGTAAGTCGGAATGTGCCGACCAGCATGGAGGAGAGCCCTCCCATCAGTAACTTCGAGAACAGCCCCGTGCATAGCCAGGGAATGAATGGCAACCCGGGGAGCAACCAGGGGAGTAACCAGAACGAGGGCGGCGGCCACGTGGGCCACAGCAATCACAGCGGCAACAATGACGATTACGGCGGCCACAACGGTCAAAATGACAGCTCCGTGCACCTTGCGAGGGAACGTTCCTTTTTTCCCTTCAGCGCCGCGCACAGCAACAACGCGAACCATAGAGATAAGCTGCACAATTTGAAATACTCTTTGAAAAAAAAAAAAAAAAAACACATCAACAGAATCAAACTAAACGTGAATAGCCTGTTGAATTCTCTGAACGTCCACATGAAGACAGACAAAATCGAGAAAATCTTCATCCTAAATAAAAAGCTTAAAGAGTTACAGGCTTGCAAAAATGTCTTACGCAATTTTAACACCGTGCCTATGAGGGAGCTAGCCAATAAAATAGGAGTTCCAGCATCTACACACACGGGAGACTTCTTCGATAACTTCCAATTTAACAATAGCACGTCGCAAAATGTGCTGACACATAGAGAGTCGCTCAGAAACAACGAAATGGATAATAACCAGGCTGGTGTTCCAAATGAAGTACAAGATTCGACTAGCTCCTCCTCATACCAGGAAAGTGATTACAATAGCGACTTTAATAAAACTTGGGAAGTACCCGAATGTGTGAATTCACCGAAAACTGTCATCTATGTGGCAGGTGACGGAGACAATGGGCGCCCGAATGAGGATCACCAACACGGTGGTGGAAGCGATGCTCCAGGAGACGATCCAGTTAGGCGAGCCAAGACGAACTCGAACAAGCTTTACACTGCCAGTTACAACCTCAATGGGAATGACTCCTCTAATGACGAGTTTTATTCGAGTAATTTTTTATACACGCCCAACAAACCTGCTAACGAGACGATGGGCCAGGAGAAAATGAACGACATTTCTTTCGATAACATAAATCGCAGATACAGTTGCAACAGGTCCATTAACGACACGGAGCCGAGGAGAGACAGCCAAATATCGTTTCTGTACTACGACAGAAGAAACAGCTTCATGTTGAATAGCCTGCCTAGGAGGGAAAGCAGTGCCTCGCTGCCGGTGCTCAACAGGGTCGACTCGAATTTAAATGGGGAAGCTGGCAGGCACAGCAGCGGTGGGGGAATAGACCGAGGTAACTATGGCGGTGGAGATGACCGCCGAGTCGAGGAAGAGGCTCGGAGCCGGCCGTCCATCAACTCCAGCAGGAGCGTACGAAACAGTGCAATGTCCAGTGTAATTCAGAGAGGAAGAAACCACCACGCGGACGACGCCATGTCCAGCTACAACAACACACCAATGGAGGAATACACCAACCTGTACGATGCAAACGATTTTAAAAATATAAAAAAATTAAATAAAAAAATTGATTACTATGATTTCACATTTGACAAGGCCAAGTGCATTAAATACAATAATTTCGTGAATGGCAAAATGAGAAACGCGTTCAAGTTGCAATGTTCTCTATGCCAAACGATTTTGTACAAAAAATATGACGACATGCAGAAGAAGAAAAACACCATCCTGGTAAACATTATAAACCATGAGAATTATTTGTTTAAATTTTTGAATAAGAATTATAAATATTGTGGGATGTACTTTCTTGCGGGATTAATATACGGGTTAGGATTATTACAATTTTTTAAGAGTTTAAAAATTTCTCTATTTTTACAGTACATTTTGAAGTACAAAAATAGGTGCCTCTACATTTGTTCCATTTTGGGCATATCTCTGTCGCTGATATCTTCGAAGAATCGCGAGTTGACGTCCATATGTATTAGTACTCTGTTCAAGGAATTATATGACGGCAAAAGGAAACTGAACTTGGACAGTTTACTTTTTCAATGTTTTAACGAACATGGGGACAGGGACGACAACTACAAATTTGTTTTTTATAAAAAAAAAAAAATTAACAAGACAGACAAGGTGGGTACAAAAATTGAGCACCTGAAAAAAGAGGGATGTGTGAAAAGGACAACAGAGTCTAGACACGCGTGCGCAGGGGACGACTCACACTATTTTAATCTTCTCTATGCACATGACAACGAATTATCCGATGAAGACACTTCAACCGTTCCGATGACCAGTGACGATGCGTCGTCCCTTTCGTGCAATACCCTTGATAGAAATATAGGCAGTGGGATAGGGAACCCCCTGGGTGGATCCACCAGCTATCAGCATCACCGCGAGGAGAACGCGGAGGAGGGCATTTACAACGTCACAGGAGGAAGCACCGATGTGAATTACTACCCTAATGGGGATTCCAATGCAGACCCGGGGATGCTAATTCGGGCGGACACTCCGCAGAACGGGGACGCGGGGGTTAAGGATGACGATCACGAGGGGAATGCAAAAGAGGACTATGATTGGGGTGGCAAGGAGGATTACGATGCGGATCCAAAACAGGACTACTCCGATAAGCCATACAAACTGAACCACGACGAGGCGTATCCCCTGCATTACGACCTTACGGGTGGACAGTTCGAGAGAATGGAACACCTCAATGAGGGAGTTGACCCCGCGGAGGAGGGTACACCGCATTACACGTATGGCCTGGGGAAAGGTGCCGACATGGATCCATTCAGTGATAAGTTCATCGAGGAGTGGGAGGAACGAAATGAATATATGCGCCAGTACATACGTGACCGAGCCGGTAAAGAGGACGACATAGAGGAGGAGCAGGAGGATCCAAACGATGACGAGGAACTAAGCATACAAGACGGCATACGAGGCTGCATAAGGGACGACAAAAATGACGGTCCAGATAATTGCAGTTTTGGGGATCTTCTCGATGGTGACCCGGAAAACCGATCAGATAACATAGACGAAGTGTACTCCCTTATGAACTCCCCCATGTGCAATTCCATTTTCTCCGAAAATTCTCAAGAGAAAAAGAAAACCAAAATGGAAGACCACAAATGGCAGAGAATGAAAAGAAGAAGTAGAAAGAAAAAAAAATCTTTAGACAACCTAGTCCTCAGTACGAACTTCCTTTGTCTAGGGTACCTTCACATGAATAGCAACAACAAATGTTTGACAAGATACATTTTTAAGCTATTACAGAAGAGCAATCTGAGCAAGTTAAATTTATTGTGCATTTTCTGGTCCATAGGAAGTATCAATTTTAAAAAAGGGAGCCTTTTCCAAACCATAATCATTTCTTTAATATATTTTATAAACGCAAATGTACCGTATAAAATGCACAAAAATGATTTCATAAAAACATTTTCCATGAAAAGTTTACATGCAGATGATATGTCCTACGACATAATGCACATTATCATCTCATCCGCCCTAGCAGCTTCATTATCCTTTTTCAAAAGCAACAATATTCACGCCTTTAATATGATTTTTATGCCCTCCATAATGGACCACATATACTATTTTAATCAGTACGAAATTATGGTAAAATCTTTTGCGCGGAATATGATCATCTTCGACTTTGTGGATTTATCTCATGAATACATCCTGTCCAACCTTCCTCCTTTCTTGAGGATTCTTCCTAACGATTGGAGTAGAAAGAGGAAGTATAGGCTACCCTATATGTACTTGATTAACAAAAATGGAAGATTCAAGGATAAAGAATTGGAGAGAAAATTCATCGTCCTAAATGGGCACCTAAATTTTGGCCACGATTTTGTGCGTAACGAGATGAACAGGATGTACGAGGGTGGTCGCTATTTTCGTCTAACCAAGAAGAGCTTTGTACATTGCTACATGGATAAGCTATCCCCGGGGGGCGCTCCCCTGAGGTATTATTTCCACGGCGGGGGTAGCGGAGATAGCGGCGTAGACGAAGGAACCGACGCCAGAAGCAATGACCGCGCCGACCGCCCAAGTGCATATAGCACAGATACAAGTAGCGACCAACATATCGACGTAGAGAAGCGCAATCACGAACACAATTTGCTAAAAGATTACACCTTCGTATACAACTGCGAAATGCTCAGGTACTACATCATCATGGGGGTGCTACAAGTCCTGAGCTTAAAATACCTTTCGACGCACCACGAGCATTTCAAGAAAATATGCTTCGAATATATCTCCTACTTTGAAAATATTAATAAAGGAATTTATGCCAAAAAGAAGTTGGAGAAACTGTACAAAAAGGTAAACTATTTGGTCCAAAAGATTAAGGATAAGATTACGAGGGAGAATCTTGTGCAGGATCTCCTTCCAGGTGTACAACAAGTTGTGCGCGAGACGAGCGGGAACAAGTCTCAGGGAAGTGTTCCCACAGCTGGGATGATACCTCAGATGGCAGGGGGAAGTTTAAGCGACAGAGAAACCGCAGTTAGGGTTAGCGACTCGATAAATGGGCAGCTATCTAGCGATGGTGGCGAAGATGATGATGATCACGATGGTCATCACGGTGGTCATCACGATGAGGATGGCCCCTATACGGACCCTCGCCATAGCTGCGGAGAAGACCAGCGGGCAGACCTGAACGACCAAATCAACAACCGTCTGCATGACCTCATTGCGGATCTGGAGTATGACAAGTGCTCCAGCGATTCTGAGGACGCAAAAACGAAGATCAGTTCATCGCAACCCCCAAAAAGGAACGAAACGGATGGAGGAAGGCAGAAAGAAGTGAAGAAAAGACAAAGCGCAGACTCGCTTAACATCATGGGGGCCACGTCCATCAGCAAAAAAAACTCAGTGTACTCTCAAATATACAAATTAATTTTAAAGTATGTTAAAAAGATAAAGAAAATTAAAAAGTACCTAAACAATTGGTACTCTCCTGTGGAGGACGAAAATTACATAACCAGTCGATTGTTAGGACAGAAGTATCAAAATGAGGAGAACCATTTGTACAAAATAAAGGAGGAAGATGTGAACGATATAGTGAATTTGATTTATCAGTGCCTTTCCCTGGTGTTTGTCGGAAGTTGCGACAAAACATTGAATAAGAAAATAAAAAACAAAATAAACAACCTGGTGAACATCAGAGATAAGAACACGAATAATTTGTACTACTACTACTTAGGGTATATAAATCTAGGGTGTGGAAAATATGTGTTAAAAAGGCACACAGATCTTTCCACCTGTACACTAACCTTAATTTTGTTTAGCTTCTTTCACATCTATGATTTGTCCTCCCATTTTATTATTCATCTGATTGAATTTATGTACGTTCTCCTAATTGACAAACGCTTTTTAAAAATTTACGATGTGACATCAAACCAATTTGTTAGCCTCCCCATCCAGTTAATTTACACGGAGAAGGTGAGCACCTACCATTTGAAGACAAATCGGGACAGTCACAAACAGGTGAGCAATAAAATCCAAAGAAACGTCCTTAACAGAAACTTCCATTTGCACAAAACGAATTACACAAGTCTTAACAGAAAGGTGATCCTCTCACCCAGTGCTATCCCACATTTGGACATCGTAAACATTTCCATAGTGAATAATGAATACTACCACTTGAGCTTTTCCTGCTTCGATGCGAAGAGGACGAAAAGATGCTTCTCGCCAGGCACCGTCGGGAGGGACCCCCAAACAGATGCACAAATATGCCAAGTGAAGAGTCGAACGTGCATTACACCTGGACACTCCTGCGACAAGAACAATATTGTGAGAAAAATAATCAAGCGGGGAATCCTCTTCGTTAAGAGGCGAGAATATAACAGCGTGTCGCTCGACTATAAGCACTTGTTCGTGGCGGAAACACTTCGCGGCCTTTGTGATGGAGGAGAAAAAATGGGTATGAAGGTCGTCCCCCCTGAGAAGTTCACCAGGAATAATAGCGACACATGTAGAGGCAGTTCCCATAGGGACACCACAATCCTTCGTGGAAGCAAGCAGCCAAATGGAAAACATATCTGTAGTAGTGCGCTCGGGTTGGAGGACCTTCACCCTATGAGCAAAGAGAACACCCTCGTGATGAACCAAAAAGGATCCCTCCTGGAGACGAGTGAAAAGAAGAACATTATTAGAAACACCCTGATGAGGCATAAAGACAGCCAAAGCAGCATAGCAAAATTTTTACTGGAAGTGCTAAAGTACTATGACAAGATCCCGTTGGTATTTTCAGACGACGCAATGTTGCTATTTCAGACTAAGGGAAATTACACACATAAAAATATCAGCGAGCTACTAATGCTAAAGTATTACTTGAAATTCGACGGAGACAAATCCTCCTGGGAAGAGTACGAGCAGGATGACCAATTGGTAGTAGAGGGAAAATTTGTAAAGCTTTTTGTACTCTTCAATGAGGAATTTAGTAGACAATTTATCGAAATTGAAAAGATTAATAAACAAAAGGGAAGTAAAAAGGTGCAGTTCCTTCCCCTAATCTATGCTGTTATTGTAAACTACTACGAGAGGAAGTGGTCCGCCCAGTGGGATAAAAAAATTTGGTCAATGCATTCAGAGGAACGTAATAAAATGTTGGACCTCTTTCGTAGCAATGTGAATAGCACAGACTTGTCAGGAGACAATGAAGAGGATAGTAAAAATGCCTTAATCACCACCCCTTCGATGTCCCCCACTCCCATCATCATAAACAATATCTACAACAAGGAGCGCGCACAAAACAACATATACACCCTTTACTACAAAAGTAGAGAGAAGAAGGAGAACATACTGGTCAGCGATCAGAGTCAAATAAATGAGCTGAACCAATTGCTAGTCGAATACGCCCTCAAAAAGTTAAACCCCTTTGTGAAATACCAACTGGTGAAGCAGGTGCAAAACAATTTTGATTACTTCCTCTTGGTCCAAAATTTACACATCGATCGAAGCGTCAATTATTTATATTTCCTGTCAGATGTGTATCATTCCTTTTACCCATTTTATCAATTTTTTTATAAGTACTGGGAAGACCATTACTTTGGAACCCTGGCATCACCAACAAGGGAAGAGAAGAAATCAATTTGCGATTTGGAATTCTTCGATTATGTTGCCAATCATGAGAGAGATACCAAAGTTGTAGTCATAGGGGGGGCAATGGGCCAGAAGGGCGATCTATCTGCGTATTCATTTCCAGAAAAATCGAGGAGTTCCTACTTTTTGCGCCCCCCCAAAAGGAATAAAAGGAAGGGGTATGGTTCGGGGGGAAAGGCCCAAAGGGGAGGCAGTGTTTGCAAAGTAAAGGTTACGTGGAAGGATGAACTCGAGAAGAGCCTATCATGGAAAGATGAAGCCGGAAAGGGCGTATCATGGAAGAACGAAGCGCGGAAGAATGAGGCTATATCCTCGAATGGAACGTTTGACAAAGTGAAGGATCTGCTGAGCCTCAATTTTGACTACCTCAAAATAATGCAGGGGATCTACAAAAGGTCCAGCACAAGAGTGAGCCTGATGAGTTACCTGCCCTTCTTTGGAACCGACTACCATTTTGTCTACTTCTTTGAAAATAATCTAAATGTGATAAAAAGGATTTTCCAGCAGTATTACCACAAGGGGTACCCCCACAGATGCATCATTTTTAACAAAACAAAAACTTCCACCAACGATTCGAGCAACGTAGTAAATTTACTTACACAATATTGTAATTTCCCCAATTATTTCTCCTTTTGGAATATCGTTTTATCTGACAAGGAGGATAACTTCCTTTTCGTGCCTCAGTGTAGACACCTCTATGATCACAAGTATAATAGGTACATTCGCTCCGTTATTTCAAAAGCGGAACAGGTGTTGACCCACAACAATATGTTACAGGGCGAAACGGTGGGGAAGAAGCACAAGCATACTTATGCAAAGGTACCAAATAGAAGGGGCGTTAAGTGCGGCTACTTCAACGCTTCTCGTAGAAATATTTTTCCTTCACATGGTGCAGTCCCCTCCAATGGTGAAACTCCCCTTCATCGCAAAAGGAGATACATAAAAATAGCGCTCAAATGGATTGACAAACGTAACTTACCATCAGCTGGAAGAGTCCATACGAAAGAGAAATACCACCCCTTTGTGATCCTCCAGAGAATAGCACACACGATTCAGAGGAACGCAACAAATGAAGTTTGTCCAATTAAAAGAGCATTCTTACAAAATGCCCATGGAAAAACATCCCTCAGTGCATACAACTTTTTCAAACACTGGATAAGCAGAAGTGAACACTTATCTAGCAAACTAATTACGACACATAATATCTCATTAAATTCTGCATGCATCAATTCCTTTTTCGCGGATATATTACTTTGTTTTTTTATTGGGAATTTATAACTCCGCTTTACCCAGTGGGCATGAGACTCACTCGTTTTTTTGGTCCATGGCGCTCGTTGTGGTTCGTCCCCCCGGGTGAGCCCCAACATAATATATGCACATACGAGCATGCACATCAACACACACAATTGTGTGTCTTTGTTTTTTGCTTCTTCCTTTTTGCCATTTGCTTTTTGGTTTTTTTTTTGTGCCTATGGAGCCGCCTCCCATTTCGGCTCTACCCCTATTTCTCAATCATGTAAAAGAATTATTTCCCCCCTGGGCGCTTTCGTTTGTGCTGCCTTTGCCAAGTTATTTTTCGTTGCGCGTTGCGGCATGGACATATATATATGTACGTCTGGCTGTTTACTTTCTCCCCCGGAGGAGGGACACAAACCTTGTTTCCTTCGCCGTGGTGCGCCTCTCTCACAAAGGCAGCAGTACCTTTTGGCCACTTTGACGTAAAATTTTACGTGTACCTAGCAACTTGCCCTTTTTTTTTCTTCCCCCCTGTTAACTCATTTGTCGGGACTTTTCACTGTCGTTCTGCCGTGCTCCCTTTCTTTCACGTGCGTACGCGTCCATACATTTCATCATAGATTTGTAGTGCAGCTAAATATTTCATGCCATACACATCTGGCGTGAAGTTCGATGAGGGATGTTACCTCCTTGACCCCCGGGTCCAGCTGACGGGTTTTCCCTTTTCGACGAATCTGGAATAGTTGTGAAGGTGTCCGGTTCCTCCTCTGTAAGTTTCTTTTAATACACTGTTCTGGTAGTAAGCATAAACTGTCAATCCTACCGTGGAGCTGCGATGGCGGTAAGAGGGGTAGAGGTAGGATGCGCCACGCGATAGGTGCATACTTATAAAGTTAGCATCATCACTTTTTTTACACGTGAATAGTTGTACATTATTGCGTAGAAATATCTGCGTATATATCCTTACGTACAATATACCCCATGTTTGCACCACATTCTTGATTCTTTTTTCACGATTATCCAATTTGGCTTCACGGTGGTTGTTTCCCCTCTGTCGAGCGATGATCCCTTTTTTGTGCACCATCTCCCCCGAGAAACGGATTTTTCTTTTCAAAAGGCTAGCCCCCCCGTGGATGATCATCTCACTGCGTAAAACCCCAGCACAGCACGTCACATGTCGCTGCAACGGGGGAGTCACCAAAATTAAGAAGCGTCATATATTATACACGTAAAAAGCACCCTTCGCAAAATATTTTCATCCACGAGTAAAGGCTGACCGAAAGTAAAAAGAATGGTCGAGTAGAGTGAAAAATAAAAATCTGCTCTCTCAAAGTTACGTTTTGCAGCATCAACGTACATATGTAACAAAGCATGCATTTTTTTTTCCCTCCTCAATTTGTTCCTTCCCACTCTTTATGTACTGTGCTTCCCCTCACAATATTAAAAGAAAAAATAAAAAAGCGCAAAAAAAAAAAGAGCAATAAGCATCTTGTTACGCCCTTTCAGTTCCAGATCTTTCTACTTCGCATAATTGGAGGCCGTCATTTCTCCGCATCATTTGCAGCATTATACAGGTATACCACTTTTTGAAGGCACAAAATACCCCTGCGTGAGGAACACGGGAGAAGCGTGTATGAGCAAATTTCGAATAATATACAATCCATTAAATATTCTCCTTTATTTTCCCCCGTCAGCAGAAAATATTTTTCGCCCTTTTGCCATTTTGTGTATAAAACCATTCATTGCAAGTGAAGTAATAATATTAGTGCGTCGATTAGCGGTTTGCTACCCCCCTGAAAATTGGAACGCCCTTTTTGAGCAACCGGAGCCAAGATGGGTGATGTTCTGAGGAGCAAAGCCGATTTAGGCGACTGCCGTTTTTATGAGAAGAAGTTTCCCGAAGTTGACGACTTGATCATGGTGAAGGTTAACAGGATTGAAGATATGGGCGCCTACGTCTCCATCCTGGAATATAACGACATGGAAGGTACGCCAAAAAAAACAGAACAAAGCCAAAGGAAACAAAGAAAAACGAAATAAAGCAAAGAGAGACAAAGCAGAACACACAGAGTGCCGTGTGCAGCCGAATGGTTGCCTGCGTGTCGACGTAGCTGTGTACGCAGTGTGCAGGCCTCTTCGACACATGCCTGCGGACACCTACAAAAGTGTCGCTCAACTGATTAGAAAAAGAGATCAACGTTGCACGTGCCCGAAGTGGATAGAATATATATATCTGCGCTTACAGCTTACTTCTGTCACGCCGAACAGCCACACTTCCCCCACCCCCCTTTGCGCCCCCCTCGCAGGAATGATCCTAATGTCCGAACTGTCAAAGAGACGATTCCGAAGTGTGAACAAGTTAATTCGAGTTGGAAGGCACGAAGTAGTTTTAGTCCTAAGAGTCGATAGCCAAAAGGGATACATCGATTTGTCAAAAAGGAGAGTATCGCCAAAAGATATCCTGAAATGTGAAGAACACTTTTCCAAGTCGAAAAAAGTACACCAAACTGTTAGGCACGTTGCACAGAAGCATAATATGACCGTCGAGGAATTGAACAGAATAGCCATTTGGCCACTGTACAAGAAGTATGGACACGCCCTGGACGCTTTAAAAGAAGCAACTGTCAACCCAGAAGCGGTTTTTAAAGGGATAGAACTAAAAGAAGATGTTAAAAATTCCCTTCTGGCTGATATTCAACTTAGACTGGCCGCACAAGCCCTAAAATTGAGAGGAAGAATTGATGTGTGGTGCTTCAGTTACGAAGGAATTGATGCCGTTAAGGAAGCTTTAAAAAAAGGGAAGGAAGTTTCGAACGATGAAGTGTCCATTAATATTAAGCTAATTGCTCCACCACAATACGTCATTGTTACGTCCTGCCAGGATAAAGATCTTGGAATGTCCAAAATTCAAGAAGCCATGAAACTGATTAGCGATAAGATTAAGGAATACAAAGGAGGGGATTTTAAACAGCAGGGCGAAATTTTGGTCATAGGAGGAGATGACGAAAAACGATTGGAAGAACTTCTGGACAAACAGGACGACCTTTCCAGTGACAATGAATACAACAGCAGTGAAGATGACGATGAGAACTCCAGTGATGATGAGGAAAATTCTAGCGAGATAGAAGAGGAAGAAGATTAATTGTGGAACAAATCACCAAGTAACAAAGGTGCTGCCAACGCGTGGGTGGAGATAACCGGGGAAGGACATTTGTGGAAGGCATTTTACTCGTTATGTAGCATAACCCTGAACTCTGCCTTCCCTTTTATCTTCTTTCTTCTTCCCCACCGGAATAGGCACATTTATATTGTTACTACCTACACTGTTACACTTGTGTCGCCCGCCCCCCCAGTGAGTAGGTGCTCTTTCAAACCCGTTCCCCAATAAGTCACATCACTTGGGGGAATTTTGTTTGGCCATTTGTCTGTACATGCCTAAATGTTGTTCTTTCCTCCTTTTTTTCTCCTTGGACATATAACGCGTAACTCTCATGCGTCATTTTTTTTTCTTTTTTTGCCAAATTGGTATATGATCACATTGATGTTTATCATCCACAAGGACATTAAAAAATGCTGCATTTATGTTTGCATATATTTCTCCTCTCCTTTTCACTACAGTAAAAATTAAATTTTTATGTATAACTTTATAAAAAATATCTTTTGACAAAAGTTGAAGGTTAAATTAAAAAAAAAGGCTGAAAAGAAAGGCAAAACAAATCGGAGAAGCGAAAAACACTAGGAAGGGACGATTCAGAGAAAGGGGACGCAGTAACGTGTGCGCAATAGCTGGAACTGCTTCCCCATTAGTGAATTAAGAAAAAATTCCTTTAAAAATTTGCTTTTAAAAGTGTGGCCACTTGGAAGACTTGTTTCATTCGAATGGAGACCCTTTTCTTCAAAGCGCTCTTCCGCTCGACATGAACAAATCATTAAATTTGTACGAATTGGTGGAGAACGAATGCGCTGCGTGCACCAAGTTGGCGGTCAATCTATGCAACGCCGTGGAACCGGGGCTGTCCTCCACGGCCGCAGCTCTGTGTGAACAGTATATCAACGTATTTTTGTGATGCATACTCGTCGAAGCTTTCACAGGTGGGTGTAGTATTCTTCCTCCCTCCTCCAGCACTCCTTAGAGGGCCTTCTCGATTCTAAATGACAACTTGGACTGAATTAAATTAAAAAAGTTCTTCAAAATAAGAACGTCCAGTATGGCATACTCTACACTGATGGAGGAGAGGGGCCTGAAGTTCCAGTTCATGATCTGGCACTCCTTGTTAACCTCCTTGTCCGGACATAAAGCTTTCCCGAATATTTTGACAGAATAACTCATGTTTTTTCGTAGTTGGGGAAAGTACCCCTTCAGCTGCTCATAATATTTCAGGTAAATACACTCCAAGTCGTAATACTTGTGTATGCAACTATAAATCCCAACCTTTCCACAGCCACTGCACTTTGAGTTCAAAAGCTTATCTAACAATGCTTCGTTCTTTTTGTATTTCACAAAATAATTAACAGGAAAAATATTCTTATAACTTATGTCGTCACTGAGACTGGAGTTTTCTTTTCCTCCTTGTTCTTTCCTTCGTTTATCTGCAGAATGTGTATCACTCCTGCTGATGTGTTGGCCCTGCTTCCCTTCGTTCTGATAGATCCCACCATCATTTGCGCTTCCATTGTGCTCACCACTCTCGTAGACGCTCTTCATGGCCCGCTTTAGCAACACATCCCAATCACTGGTGCTGTTGGCAATGATTTGTTCCTTTCCCAAAGGGAGCTGATATGAGGCCCAAAAGTTGGTATGTTCTTCTCCCATGGGTACTTCTCCATTATCAATGCTGTCCACCAATATGCTGTGATACTTTTCCCATTTCAACATGGCAGAAATGTCGTAGTACTTTCTAAAATGCAACATGTCGTTGTTTAAAAAGGCCACTCCAACTTTGATAATATTTTGATCCCGAAAGAGGTCCGAAATGTAGTAATTAATTTCGTAATTCTCTACAGCAATTTTTTTCAAGTCAATTATGTAGGACACGGGACTATCCTTTAGGGCAACTTGAAAAATGGAAACGATCGGACTTTCACGAAATACAGCGCACTTCCATTCCGCGTCGATAAATATGACTCTCTCCTTTTTCTTTATGTGTTCATAAATCGTAAAGAAATCTTCGAAGGTTTCTAAAATTTTTACTGATTTCAAAGATGACCCTAAGTCTTTTATGCAAATGAAATTCTTGGGACACGAGCACTTTCCGTTCCTCTTAATTAGATAATCAAACGAATTCCTAATAATTTCCGTGTTAATCTTTTTTAGCTTTTCAAATACATCGAAATATTTACACAGGTCTGTCAATTTGTACACCTTCCTCGTGACGCTGTCGAACGGCATGACTTCCTCATTTTTGAAACAAAAATGGAGATCATTAATAATTACGCATTCGTTCTTGAGAAAGGAGTATACAGTGTTGTAGTTCTGATTGCACAACGGGTTGGTAAATGCAACATGAGGGGCGGCCCTCCCAACTCCACTGCCAGCAGCAATTTCGGCCCCATTTCCGAAGGCCATTCCATCGCCGTTGGCAAAACCACTACGGCTGTTCTTTCCCGTGTCTCTATCTCTGTAGTCATTTTCGTACTGCCGCAGGTACGGCTCATTATTCACAATGCTGCTGTTGTGATTAGTGTTCTTCATCTTCCTCGGCTTGAAAAACAGAAAATAAAACATCCGAAAGTCTACGTCCTCGGAGGAAATGTACAGGGGGTACAAAAAGTACACAGCCAAGAGACACGCCTCCAAATTCTTCTTCTTCAATAAAGCATTAAAATACATCTTCAAATACTTAGGGTTGTCATATAGGTAGTAAATTATGTACCTTTTGTCGAAGGTGCTCACAAGATAATTGTAAGATTTATAATTTAGGTAGTAGAATAGGTTTGGAAATTGTAGCAACTCGTAATTGAACGCCTTCAGTAACTTGATTGCGAACTTTACGTTTCCGTTTTTCAGTTGTTGCTTGATCAGTTCTAGCTCCAGCGTTTTGTTTCCCTTGCAACTGTCCACCAAGTGTGAAATGCTGGCGTCGCCCTTTAGGATGTCATTCAGGTGCAGGCTGTACGGCACCTTTAGCTTGAGCGGATACGCCTCACGGTTTAGAAAGTTTATGCTTATAACATAAGCGGGGTTTAGTGGTGAGCTACTCGGAGAGACGCTTACCAGGGGAAAGCCACTCGGGGAGTTGTTAACCTGGGGGAAGTCACTCCGGGAACGCCTAACAGTCCTTTCTTTGTTTCCCCCACCACTGCTGTGGTGCCAATTTTCTGCTACGTTAAGCACTTCATTCGCAAAAGCATCGCCATTCTTGTCCTGCCAATTTGACTGCTCCGCCAGCTCCGATCGCTCCGGTCGATTCTCCTGCGTACATCCCTCCGAATAACACATTTTCACCCTATTGTGCGTATCCTCCCTCTTGCACACGTTGTTGTTGCGAAGCGTGCAGTAGTATTGTTGACCTTCGCAATTGTTGTACGTAATATCCGTGTAATATTTGCTGCTACTAATATGGTTGAAGTTCGTGGGATGATCCACCTCTTCGATTATTTTTTTTTCCGTTTGGTCGCCTTGTTGGGTTGCACCCGCATAGAGGGGAAGCTCATTGCTGGTACCTCTACTCCAGTTACTTCCACCCACGCAGAAGACATCTCCACAGCGAAACCCCCCGATCTGTCCAGAACCCCCTTTTGCGCTTTCCCCAATAGATGGCAACAAAAAGGCAGTTGCCACATCGGAAGACATTTCATCATTCGGGCTGCTCATAGCGCAGTGACTACTTGTTGGTAGTCCCATTCCCCCCTCTTCGCTCCTTTCCACAGCAGCAGTTGTACTACTTTGCTGTCCGTGCTTCAAACTGGAATTGCTGCTGGGACAATTCTTCCCTTCGCTTGACTGCTTATTGTGATTTGCTGGTGTCACCAAATCATTTTTCTGACCACCTTGCACGTTTTCCTTTTTAGCCGACGGGGGGTAATTAATATGTTGGTTTTGGCTATCGCTGTAATAAGTGTTCGGTGTGGAGTACAATTTGCTGCTTCTACTTTTGCTTCTACTTCTGTTGCTGTCACTGGGACTTCCACTGTGACTTCCCCCCCGACTTCCTCCACGGCTTCCACTATTGCTACCATTGTTACTACTGCTTGTGATGCCTGTGTTACTGCCCCCATTACCACTATCATAAGTGTACCCTGTGTCAAAATTCCCCCCAAGATTCTTCCCTCTGCGGCTCCCTTCTCTCAAGCGGACGCGCAACGAGTAATTATTTCTCCCCGTGTTACTGTTGGCATTTCCAGAGCAAAGTCCCGAACCTCCCCTCTTGTTCTTTCCAGAGCCATTCACATAATTCTGAGTTTCAATGTCTTCCAAAAATTTCAAGTACAGATCGTTGTGCTTTCTCCCCATTTCACTGCACTCGATCTTTTTGTAAATAAAATAATTTTCCTTCAAGTCCTTATTCGAAACATCATTTCGAAAAAGATAACGCTCAATGTTGTACTTGTTTATGAAATGTAAAATGTTTGAATTGAGTTTATTCGCTTGGCATATAAATAGGTAGCAGCTCAGATCTAAGTACCTGTTCGGTATGGTCATGCGGTATCTCTCGATTAGGAAGATAGCAATTTTTGTTACGTTTAAGCAGACATACGAAATGAACATATAAAGATGGTCGCTAACGAATTCGTTTATCCCTATAATGACATAATTTGAGTTCCTTCGTCGTTGAAATGGATCAATCTGTTCATCTTTTTTTCTTCCCCTCTCGCCTTTTTTTTGCCCATCATCCATTGTTGTGGCGTTCCATGGGGAGATATTTTCCCCTCTATAGGGTTGGACTTGCTCCATTTCTGCACTTACATGGCCATAACTAAAATGCTCAGCGAGCGACACACTGTGCGTGTTGTTCTTACAGTCGGGTTCCCTCCTCGCAAGGTCTCCCTCCTGTCCAAACACTCCAATGGGCGTGTAAAATATCTTATGGTATTCATCACATTCTGCTGCATCACTTTTATTTTTTTTTTCTTCGTCTTCGCTGATCTCCAGGGAAGGTGAATTATTTCCATCAAGTATTTCGCAGTCGATAAATTTCCTCAGCGCAGCCATTATGTGTCTTCTTTCCAAATTGTTATTTTTGTTAATGAATTCAACGAGGCCTCCCATATAAAACGAAACGCAGCTTCTTTTGTTCACATCCTCCTGGGGCTGTCTATTCCAGTTTGAAAAAAAACTGTTCACATGATTTGCATTGCAATTTCTGTCAAGCTTGGTAGAGTCATACGCTCCTTCATCAAAACTTAAACTAAAATTGATGATTTTCCAAATTTTCCTTTTTGTGCTCAAGTGATAAAAATCAAATGTGTAATTGACGTACAGGCAGAGGGGTATGTAAAACTTGGATGTCTTCACATTCTTCATCCTACTGTATAGTTGTTCAAAATGGGACTTCACTTCGTTGTAATTTTTTATCTTCCACCCACATCCACCGACATAACCCAACACCCTTTTGGTATCACTTCTGAATTGAGCATACCTTCCTACGTCAGCATTTCCCCCGTGAGGTTCATCCACAGAAGCTCCAACTCCGTTGTTTATATCATCTGACATTATACTCCTATCCCCATGGGAAGTACCATTTGGATAATTCCTTCTTTTATCATTTTGGTTATATTTCCCCCCTGTGTTGGTGCCTCTTCCTAAACAGTTACTTGAGACTGCTTCGCCATTTATATCGGCACAGTAACTTTGCACCTCGTCTGGATGGGGGAAGAAGATTCTCTCGATATGTTTTCCCCTGTTTAACATGAAATTAAAAAATTCTTCAGAAACAATTGGGTTTTCTATTTCCATGGTGCTGCTACCCAAGTGGGCGGAATTCTCATCTGGATGGTTTTCCTCTACACACATCTCTACAAATTTGTTGCCTCGAACCACCCTGGTTGTCATAAAATCCGCGTTGCTGCTGTTTCCACTGTCGAACTCGTTCTCCTGGCCATTCGCACAGTTCGACGCGTTGTTCGGGGCTATATCGGGGCTCTGCGTCTTCGCCGAATGGTTCTCATCACTTCTGTCACTTTGGCCACTCCTACCACTTCTTCCAGTGCTCCCACTTCGCTCGCTGCTCTGGCTTCTCCGACTTCTGCCGCTTTTCCCACTTCTCCCACTTGTGCGCACCTGTCCCCGCTTCAAAATCCTCAAAACAGACGACTTGATGCCGTAAATCCAGCTGAAAAAGCCAATTGCGCACTTGTCACTTTTTGCAATCCTTACATTCTTTATCCTAAAAAACGAGTGAAACTCGTATGCATAGCATATAACGCTAAAGGCATAAATGACGTCGCATATTTCCTCATACGTCGAATGGAGAATTAAAAGTCCATCACTTAACTTGTGACATGGCAGATTCTCCCTCATTATGTATTCAAGCGCTTTGCTGGACACTTCCTCTTTCCTTCCAATCCCTTCATTCGTGGTTACATATACAGTTGCCTTTTCTGTACATTTAGGCTGCCCTCCGTTCAACCTGCAATTATCACTTTCGTTGGACCCTTCATGGGCGCTTTGTCCTTCTCTCTTCTGCAGACCGAACAGCTGGTCGCGCAGCACCAACTTTACAATGACATGGTAAAAGGCGCACAGAAAAATCTGCTCATAAAATTTGTTATTCTTGGAATATCGGATATGATGAGATAACTTCGATGGGACATTTTTATTTAGGTACTTGAGGATAAATTTGTTGAAGAGGTCCCTCCTTTGGATTATTTTTTTCTGTGTGTGTTTCCTCTTGATATAATCACTGAGCTTTTTTATTAAAAGCTCCACTGACAGTGTGTACTCATAGATAAGTTCTAGTTCGTTTTCTAACGATACTTCTTTCATTTTTTGTTAGTCAAAGATTGAATTCGTCCTTATCATTTTCTATGTTGCCTCTTGGTGTGTGACGCTTAGGGAAGGGTGTCTCCGTGGGTACCCCTTGCTGCTTCTGCGCATGTGCGGCTGTTCTGTTAAGAGTTTGTGCTGTTAATCGGTTGTGCTATTAAGCGGCTGTGTGTTCCTCTGCTGGGGGACTTGTCTATGTTTCTTTCCTGTTGTTTCTCTGATTTCGTGTGTGTGATCTCTTTGCTATACTGACGATTCCAGAGTCTCACTTAACCCTTCTCACTTTCGCATTTTTCAGCGCGTGTTATGTATGTACCTATTTTTTTGGACAATCTTACACATACCGTCGGCACCCTGCAGTTGTTCTGTTTTGTTCAAGGTGAGTAGCCAATTCTTTTTTTTCCTGGAGGCGAAGTCCTTATACGCGCTATATGTGCATATGATTCCTGCGCCTTTTCCACACAGTTTCATTATAGTTATAGTAAATATACGTCACATTATATAAGTTTGTAATTCCGATCTTCCCTTTTCTCTCTTTTGCTTCTAAGCGAGACTATTCCGCATTCTCCTGCTGGGTAGGTTTACCTCCCTGCTAATTATTCTTTTTGTTTTCAAGAGCTGTAGATTTACACCTTTCCCAAACAGGTGCCCTAGAAAGTGTTTGCTTCTTTATTCGTTTTTCCTCCTGGCCTTTTTTGTACTTATTTCACAGCTCTTTCTTTCTCCTTTAAATGAAAAAAAAGAAAAAAGAAAGAAACGCTAATTGGAAAGGGATTAATTCATAAATTTCCCTCTTCCCCCTTTTTTTTGCTCCAAATATGTTAATTCACTTGCAAAATGGAATAAGTACACTTTTGTTGTTTTGTTAATCATATGAAGAAAAAAAAAGGGGTGATGTAGGCGTGGGGAAAAAGAGAAAAATAAAAAAAAATAAAAAAAACAAATAAAGAAACAAACGAACAGACGAACGAACAAACAAATGCGCTAAACGGAGGCCCCAAACAAAGGCGCGAAACAGATGCGTCAAATTCGAAAGAGGAGTTAGAGATTGTTTCTAAAAAAATAGCAGTACAAATCTTAGCGCCAAAAAGAAGTGTACGGAAGTGATTCCCGTATACGCCAACGTCCAGAGGGGGGAAATGGGTCTAAGTAAAAAGTACACAAATAAACACCAAATGGGAGAAAACATGTTTTAACGAAGAGGCACCTGAGAGTCAGCAGTACGCAATGGGAGCTATACACTTTTAGTGGGAAATAGATAATTGCTGTTCTAGTTGATGCGCAACTCTATTTATTACAATAACTCTTAGTGTTCAAATATAGAGGAAGGAATATCGTTAGAGAGTACAAAAAGAAAAAAGAAGGATGGCGGGAAACTTGCGAATGAGAAAGGGAAATAATGATGAGCAAAAAATGGAAGCAAAAAATGAAGGCAACGAATGGAGGAAAAAATGGGTGAAAATGCCAGAGGAAAAGTCCCAAATAAGAAACTGACACACCTTTAGATTTGCGTGTAACTAGTGTACATTCCTGAATTTTTCCGTTACCATCGCGTACACTTGAGGGAAACAGTAAGTGCTTCCTAGCTTCAGCGATTTTAGTCCTGTTGTGCACCACGGAAAATGAGAAAAAAAAAAGAAAAAGAAGGGAAAAAAGCAAAAAAAAGAAAAAAAGGAAACAGGAAGAAAATGAAAAAATGAAAAGAAGAAAAATAAACAAAAGAAGCAAAAAGAAGCAAAGCAACCCCATAATTCTCACTTTTCTGCAATTTCTCTTCTTTCTTTTTGCGAAAATCTCAATTTCCACTCCTTACACAATTTTCTCTTTTCCAAAACAAACGAAAGAATTACGCTACTCCAGAGTTACCCCGCGCGCAATGCTCTGGAACATTTCCACATATAACAATTCACCAAGGGTGAAATTCCTCGACTCCGTCCTATCTTGGAAAAGTTCCTTTCTATCGTAAGATTTATTATCTTACTTTCTCCGCCAAACTGTGGGTAAGTGATGCATAATTAAAAAGAATAAAATAGAATAGAATAAAATAAAATACAGAGCGGTTCCTTTTCCACACAAATATTCGCCAAACAGGGTTACAATTCTAACTGATCTGTTACCGAAAAAGATGCATAAGTTCTTCGGAACCTTCGCATGTACGTCGAGTGGTTGTACAGGCATTTCTCTTCACGAAAGAGTGATGTCAAATGAGTCTCTCCCACTCTCTATGTAGGGGTGCACATGAAAGTGTGCGTAAACCCATTCGAATGAACAGAATGGCCTTTTAAAAAAAAGTACCCTTGTTAAAAAAGGGAAAAGATTACACCACCATTACCACAACCCCGTGGTAGGGCAGCCCACAGACGTCTTCTGCACACGTTGGTACCAGAGAATGGACAGGGCCTCATGCCATAAACTTAGCTGCACGGTAAGAGTAACACCGTAATGGTATACGTCCTCAGTCGAGTGTCTACGGAGGGTTATCCCCATCAATGCTAATCTATTCCAAATGGGAAAAGGGCTCCATATACGGTTCGCCCACTTCGAAATGGAGTAACAGTCCCATCTGACACGTAACATTCGCATAAAGAATTTAACTTGTTAACAATTTATGAAGTTTTTTTCTCCTTTTTTTTGTCTATTTGTCTGGCCTGTTGGCGCTTGGTCAGCAGCATGCAGAGGCTCTAACCCGTATACTGCTCCAAGATGCTGAAGTGATGCGGGTGAGGAGGCAGTTATATGGGGTAACTAACCGGTTGGTTACCCCGACTGCAGGACGCCCAAATAAAGACGCAGCGCGGGATGTAACAAATTTCACAGCAAGGGGCCCTCGCATGTGATACCCCCCACAGGAATATGCACCAGCACGGAATGAAACCAGTGGGGGTCTCAAAAAAAGGGAAAAAAAAAGTAAAAAACAGGGGAAAAGAAGGAAAAAAAAAAAATATATCAAACCGCATGCGTCATCGCATTTCACACACGCGATCTCCGCGCTTTGCCGATTCCTCCCCGTTACAAACTGACTCTGAAACGCTCGAATGCGTAGAGCCTGACGCGTCTGATGAAGCCGCAAATGAGGTACGGCGCGACGATATCCAAAATCATTAAAAACAAAAACAGAAACTGCAGATGCGCATTTGGAAACGAGACAAGGGAAAAGAAGTAATTCAAGTAGGGGACTATATTCATAACGAGTGCAAACAGGAAGATAAAATTTACAGCAAAAATGTACACGATCTCTTTATTCTTGTGAATGGGGGTCATGAAGGGTAACCCTTCATAATTACAGGAAAAAATGGATAAATTGATGCAATAAATGAGGTAATATATACAGGTGTTCACCAGATTTGGAGAGAAGTCTCCTTTCAAGTCTGGAATGTAATCAGCTTGTCTGTAAGAACAAGCCAATTTCCACCCATAAATTAGGATAGAAAAATGGATAAATACTTGAAAGATCAGAGAACTCATAACGCTAATGTTGAATAACGAATTGGGTGGCGAATAATTCGATATGTCCTTTAAAGGAGCTGTCTTGGAAATTAAAACAATGAGAGATGTATACAGTAGCGAAATAATCGTCGTCTGCGCGTCACTTAACTTGACCCCGTCTAGAGTCAAAATGGAAACAGAGAAGGCGGTTATGAGAGAATTGATAATCATCAGCTTGTACATCATTATAACCTTTGATAAGGCACACCTTCCGCAACAAATAATTTCCTTCACGCATTTTATGTCGTTTCCTTTGTATGTAAATGGAGATGCTATGCTTGCTTCTCCCAACTTGATTAGCGGCAAGGAGTCGTCCATTGATTGCATCATATGCTCCAGTTGCCTTTTCCTCTCATTGTACAATTTCATTTGTTCGTAATACTTAGCATTTGCCACGTTACTTCCTCCACTTGCATACGATGCGTTGTACTGAGCGTTTAAGTTGTCATAGGCATTTCGCAACCGCTGCTCGTAGTTCCTGGTCGCCCCTCCGTGTAAATCTCCGGGGTAGCCGCCCACATGGGGGTCACCCACGAGCGCGCTCGTGCATCCTCCATTCAACTGTGTAGCCATATTAGCACCTCCACCATCTGGCCTACCACTTTTGTAACTTATTTTTATGCTCAGTAGAGACACCCCAACATGTGCCGCCTTCAGGGCCGCCATGTCATTCGTCCCGTCGCCACACATAATGGTTATGTTCCCTAACTTGTTCAACGTTTTTATAATTATTTCTTTATTCTTTGGAGACACTCTACAAAAAATCAGCGCTCTTTTTATCAGCTCGTCAAATAAAGCCAAGTCGTTCTGATAGCTGCTTAGAAAATGTTCGATTATATCTCCTGTAATGCAGAGGGTAAAAAGTTGTTCACACAATTTTATGTACTCCTCACATTCTATAAACGGCAGCATTTTTTTATTTTCCCTATTGATAAAGTACACCACGTTGCTTATGTTTTTTTTCTCATTCATCATTTTGATTAATTTCTCAGCTGCGTTCTGTTGGGATTTGTTTTGCAGGGGAAGGTTTCGTATCAGGTCGATTGCCCTTTCGCGCTCGAAAACGCTAAATGTATCTCCTTCGTCTGTCAAACTGGTCGATGTGGTCTTCCCACTTACGAGAGCCATCTTCCCATGTACGGCGTAATCTTCCCTAAGCTTTAAAATTAGTATGTCCTTAATCTTTATAGACGGGACAATGTTAACATCCTGCGAAACTTGACACGCAGTCAAAGCATTATCCCCTGTTATCATCACGTTTTTAATTCCTGCCTGCTTAATATCAAGGATGTAACTAGGGGTGGAGGCCTTGATTGGGCATATGAAAGTGAGGAAGCCACAGAAATGTAAGTCCTTCTCTATGTCTTCCCTTTTCACATTTTTGGAAACTACTTTGTTGTCCAACACATTCGCAGCTAGACATATCACACGGTACCCCTTAATGGATAAGTTGTTCAACATTTGGTCATAATTTGGGGGAATTTTTTTTAAAAATTTTTTCATCATTTCTGGGGATCCCTTACTAACTGCAAGGTACTGTTTAACCGGTTCGTTTTTGCTACTGTCATTTTTTTTTTTCTTCCTTTTTAAGCCTTCTAGCGTTGCCACATTTTCACTACACGGACTTTTTTCCCCGTTAGAGCTTCCCACGCATGTAGCGGGCTCCGCGGCTTCTTCGTACTCTTCCCCATACCAGTCGCCCTCATACCCCTCGTGCAAAATGATGCACGTCATTCTTTGTAACTCTGATGAAAAGAAGAACCTCTTATAAATTTGGAAGTTCTCCACAAATGGGCTTTTCTTTTCGCTAACCGTCTTGTTGGGTGCCTTCTTCGAAAACATGACCATGGATTTGCCCCCCTTTTCTGGGCTTCCCTGCGAAGTCGCAGCTGCCGCACTCTGATAATTATTCGTATAAACGTACGTTCTGTCCAGACTACTCATCATGCATTTCAACCTTTGGAAGGAATTCTTTTCCAGCGGATCCCCTAGCAGCTTATTGTTAACAGTGCATATCGAGTGACATCCCGCGATAACTGCTACGGAAAGGAAGGGTACCCTCTGCTTGCCAATAATCGACTCGTTAATTTCGTTTATCCTCTCCGTGTTTTGGTCAAACCCGAAGAGTCCCAAAATTATCATATTGTCCTCTGTCAGCGTCCCCGTCTTGTCAAAAGCGCATATGTTCGATTTTCCAGAAAATGGCAACCTAAAAGGTTCCGTGCAGTATATCTTTAAGTTGTACAGATAGACTATCGAAATGGTGACTCCTAACGATAAGGTTATGGGAAACTCTGGTGGGATGACTGCAGTGATTATGTGCGAAACGGACAGAAGCAGTTTGTATAAATTCCTCTCGTGAGTGCCTTGCAATACAGTGTAAGCTACATACGCGCATGACGATAATGAAAACAACAGAAGGATGAAAAGGAAGATAATCGAATCTATGCTGGACGAGTTCACCTTCTCCGATGTGTTAATGATCGTCCTCACTAACTTCCCCTGATAGGTGGTGAATCCATTTTTCAGAACAATGCCTATGCACCCACTAACAGGTAGCTTCATATTATTAAATTGATCATTTTCATTTTTTGTTAGTAAAATGTTCGATCCGGCATACACCACATGTTTTTTGTGTTTATTCTTTATGTCAATTTTGTTTGTAAAAATGGAGTTACCTTTGTTTCGTTTGTTTCGTTTGTTTCCTTTGTTTCCTTCCATGGGTGATACCCCCCTCATGGGGTCTCCTTCTTCTTCTCCGTCTTCTGCCTCTGCCTCTTCTTCTGCTGCTCCTCCCCAATCACCGCAGGTATCATTATCGCTGCCATCCTGCTCAAGGTATTCCTCCTCTTCCGTCTTATCAATAGCTGCCTTAATCAAAGGTATGGACTCCCCAGTCAGGATCGATTCATCCGTAATGCAGACCCCCTCCAACAGCAACGTCTCGCAGGTACACACATTATCCCCACTACTAGTCTCATTCGATAAAATGTATATGTCCCCAGGAAGTAGCATGTTCGACTTGATAATTTTCCACTGCAAATTCCGATAAACATACAAATTTTGAGGAGGGACTTTCATACTGTTTATCAAATTAAACTCTCTTATTCGTTTGTTAATCAGTTGACCCTCCAGCATCACTAATATGAAAATGGAGAAAAGGCCAAAGTACCAATAGCTGTCTAACATCCACAGCAGGATGCTAAAGAATTGAAAAATAAAAAATGGGGATAGCATGGCCTCATAAAGTAGCTTCTTAAAACAGGGGGAAGGAATGTCGTATATATTTTCTCCATACTTGTCTAAATTGTTATGCACAAAAATGTCGTAGGGAATTTCAAAGTTGCTCTTTTTATAATACGAATGAAAAGGGTTTGTTTGATTTCCATTTTGTTTGCTTTCCCCTTGGCTGGGATGCACTCTGTTTCGGTTTTTTAGTTCGTCAGCATCAATTGATCTTTGTATCGTGGTGCTCCCTTCAAAGGACTGTAGCATCTTTGTTCCTTTCGAGCTTCCCCTTCCTTTCATACTGTAATGATAAACATCTTCTATCTCTTCCTCAGATGAGTTACTCCCCCCTTTGTAGCGCTGTGCCAGTTGGGCCATTGCGCATCTTCCAGCTTTATCTAAATATAAACCATCCAGTTGGCAAAAAAGGATGTGCACATTGCCTCCCCTCTTCTGTATGTTTTTTACATTTTGTTCCATCGCTCGCAATGTTGTGCCGGTTTTCTCATCGTCGTAGAGATCCCTCATTTGACATTCTATGAGTCCCTTCCACTTTTGATAAAAGGACAAATGAAAATTATCAAAATGTTTTACCGATTCGAAATCCAACGTTTCGTAATTGAAAATATATTTTTTCTGTTTGTAAAAAAAAAATGTAGAATTTTTTCCCCTTTTCAGTGGAACTAACTCTGCTTTGGGCTTGTACAAGTTGTAATCCGTGTTAAACCTCTCCTTGCTGTTTACTGCCGACTTGTCACTTCGCTTAACGAGTGGCTTAATATACACATGCGTGCATCGGTTCTGCACGTTGTACAGGTATTTGTCCTTGTGGCTGCTGTTTAGACGACTGAAGGAAACCACTAGGTTAACGTCCAAGTTCCACTGCGATAGGAGAAATGTTAGCAGGTGGAAAAAAATAAATAAAAGTAAACCAACAAACTCGCTGCTGTAGAATAAGTATATCAGATTGTACTTTCCTATTATGATCGGCTTGAATGTGTTTTCCTTTTCCTTTCTGTTGGATCCTTTTTGTTCCCCATTTGCGCTATCTTCCCCGTTAGCATTTTCCTTCGCATTTATAAACTCGTTACTGTCTTTCCTTTCACTCGCCCCCACTTTGAGCTCCCCCAAGGGTTTCTGCTTCTCCTCTTCGTGGAGGCCAAACATAAATGCCTCTTCCACCTCATTTTGCAATTTCGCTAAGTACTCATAATCACCAGGCTTCGCTTCAAATTTGTCATTTTTCAAAATAAAGTGGAGAAAAACGGCGTAGAAGAAGAACAGCAGCACATCTAACCTCAAATGCGTTTTCTTCTTTCTATAAATCAGCACATGGTACTTATGTTTCATCTTTCCGTCCTGCTACCTTCCGTGAACACGGGTGTGGATTACGTATATATGCATAAGTAGATGCCTACACATGTATAACTGCTGCGAATACCTCCTACACTCCGTTATGTGGTTCCTGTGTCATAGATGGTGTGTTGCACTTTTCTTTTGTTTCTTTTTTGGGGAATCCTATCCAAGGCACCGGCATGACCATGCGGATGATGAGAACAACTTTCCAAGGGGTGAGGTGTAGAACAAAAGTTGCATAAATGTACCAAAAAAAAAAAAAGGGGAAGGGTGGGGGGACAAGTGTGCCAAATTTCCCCACCAATGCGATTTACCCCTACTTATGTGTTCCGTTCGCAAAAATAATACTGTACATAAAAACAATTGTGTAATATTGCAATCTATACGAAAAAAAAAAAAAAACTCCTTATACAGTTTTTACTTCAAATGTTTTGATGTTTATTCCTGTCGAGTTGGCCTTTCCTCGCACGATGTGGTAATTTTTCAAAATGAAAATTAAAAAAAGCGCGCTTGACAATTCTCTATTTTGTGGAGCGAAAATTTTGCCTCCTTCCCTCCGGCTACCAAAAAAATGCGACGTACATGGTGTACATGTTTTAGCTCCCGCGTGCGTACCTCTTCCCTTCATCGCTAATTTTTTCAGAAGAAAGCTGTTCGAATGGCACTGCATAGGAAACTCCTGTACATATGTTTGTGTATGCGTTTGTGATTATCTTATGCTTATAGTTCATCCTCATTATG